AGCTACTCAGGAGGCTGAGACGGGAGAATTGCCTGAACCCAGGAGGCGGAGGTTGCGGTGAGCCGAGATCGCGCCATTGCACTCCAGCCTGGGTAACAAGAGCGAAACTCTGTCTCAAAAAAAAAAAAAAAATGTAGAAATAATATTTAGGCAACTAAATGTTAAAGATATGCTTGTGCCGGGCGCGGTGGCTCAAGCCTGTAATCCCAGCACTTTGGGAGGCCGAGGCGGGTGGATCACAAGGTCGAGAGATCGAGGCCATCCTGGTCAACATGGTGAAACCCCGTCTCTACTAAAAATACAAAAAATTAGCTGGGCATGGTGGTGCGTGCCTGTAATCCCAGCTACTCAGGAGGCTGGGGCAGGAGAATTGCTTGAACCCAGGAGGCGGAGGTTGCGGTGAGCCGAGATCGCGCCATTGCACGCCAGCCTGGGTAACAAGAGCGAAACTCCGTCTCAAAAAAAAATAAATAAATAAAATAAAGATATGCTTGTAATTTACTAAAAACAAACACATAAAAAGTATAAAGGAAACTACAACAACAAAACAAGTTCTTTTTCAGAATGCTTTCCATGCAAAAGTACGTATCTCTGGGAGAAATGAAAAACACGAAAAGACTATATTCCTGACTTAAACAACTGTCCCTAAACATTCTTTTTTTTTTGAGACAGAGTCTCACTCTGCCGCCCTGGCTGGAGTGCAATGGCGCAATGTTGGCTCATTACAACCTCCGCCTCCCGGGTTCCAGAGAATCTCCTGCCTCAGCCTCCTGAGTAGCAGGGACGACAGGCACACACCACCGCATCCAGCTAATTTTTATATTTTTAGAAGAGATGAGGTTTCACCATGTTAGCCAAGCTGGTCTCCAATTCCTGGCCTCAGGTGATCCACCTGCCTCGGCCTCCCAAAGTGCTGAGATTACAGGCATGAGCCACCACGCCTGGCCTCCCTGAACATTCTTAATGATAGGTTAAAAAATAATAATGGCGGGGCGCAGTTCCTCACACCTGTAATCCTACCACTCTGAAAGGCCAAGGCAGGCAGATCACAAGGTCAAGAGATCAAGACCATCCTAGCCAACACCGTAAAACCACATCTCTACTAAAAATACAAAAATTAGCTGGGTGTGGTAGCATGCACCTGTAGTCCCAGCTACTAGGGAGGCTGAGGCAGGAGAATCCTTTGAACCCGGGAAGTAGAGATTGCAGTGAACCAAGATGGCACCACTGCACTCCAGCCTGGCAACCAGGCAAGACTCTGTCTCAAAAATAATAATAATTCAAATCAGCAACTATGACACTATTTGGATAAGTTGGTAAACCTACGCAAATAAAGTTATTCTGATTTGTTACATTTTTTAAAATCTCATTCTTACCTATCAGTATTTAAGTTCAATCCAAGAAAATGAGGAGAATTTTTATCAGATTCTACAGATGAAGTTTTGTGTACGTTTTTCACCAAGTCAAATTCTTCCATAGTGTACAGAAATTGTTACGCTCTCTTATTTGAAAATAGAGGTTCCTGGACTGTTTGAGGAAACTGAATCCGTGTCATCTTCAGAGGCTTCATCGTCTACTGGCATTTTCAGTGACTAACATTCAGAACTGTGAATATCCTAAACTTCCAAGGGAGTCTGAAAACGAATGGGGAAAAAATACTACTATGAAAAGCCACTAATCCTAGCAATTGTTTTTTCATAACTTTGGAAACTTTGACTTCTTTCACACAGACCTCCATTAAGGATAGCAACAGTATTCAGAATAATTGAAATGTAGAAACCACCCAAATGTCCATCAATGGATAAATGGATAAATGAAGCATATCTGTAGAATAGGATTCAGTCATAAAAAGGAATGACTCACTGACACATGCTACAACATAGATGAACACTGAAGATACTACGCGAAGTAAAAGAAGCCGGTCACAAAAGACCACAGACTGTATGATTTCATCGATATGAACTATCTTGAATAGGCAAATTTATAGACAAATGGCTGCCAGGAGCTGGGGTAAGGACAAAATAGTAGTGACTGCAACTGGTATGGAGTTTCTTTTTGGGGTGATAAAAAGTTCTGGAATTAGATATTGGTGATAGCTGCAAAACCTTGTGAACTAAAACCTACTGAACTGTACACTTTTAAAAGGCTAAATTGGGCCAGGTACGGTAGCTCCCGCCTGTAATCCCAGCACTTTGGGAGGCCGAGGGGGACGGATCACCTGAGGTCAGAAGTTTAGGACCAGCCCGACCAACATGGAGAAACCCTGTCTCTACTAAAAATACAAAATTAGCCAAGCATGATGGCGCATGCCTGTAATCCCAGCTACTTGGGAGGGTGAGGCAGAAGAATCGCCAGAACCCAGGAGGCAGAGGTTGCAGTGAGCTGAGATTGCGTTATTGTACTCCAGCCTGGGCAACAAGATGAAACTCTGTTTCAAAAAAAAAATGCTGAATTTTATGGTATGTGAATTATGTGTCTCAATTAAAAATCTACATTAAGGATTATTTGCAAAACTAGCCTCACCTTTTTCAGGTAGTATTTCAGAATTTTGTATGTTTAATAATCAAGGTTCTTCTTTTATTTTTCCTTTTTCTTTTCTTAGAGACAGCATCTCACTATGTTGCCCAGGCTGGTCTACAATTCCTGGCCTCAAGTGCTCAGCCTTCCGAGCAGCTGGGATTACAGTGCAAACCATTTTGCCAGGCTTTACAATGAAGGTTCTAGATACAATTCTATTATGCAACAAATGGAATACTTGCATGCCTTGTTCATTTGTTTAATAAATTCTACCAAGTATATGTGTTTGTTGAATTATATAGAGACTAGAAGAACTGAACTATTTAATATTTAACTTATATTCAAAAGAGCCAATTAAACGATTGACAACCATAGCCTCCCCCATTGTCTGGAAGTACATTTTGAACTATATGATCTTTAGTCTCTGTGCAGGTATTTTTAGAAAATAAACCAGCTGGGGACAGTGGATCCTGCCTGCAGCTACTGGGAGCATGTCCCAGCTACTCTGGAGGCTGAGGTGGGAGGATCACTTGAGCCCAGTTCAAGGCTGCAGCAAGCTATGATCCTGCCACTGCACTCCAGCTTGGGCAACAGAGCAAGACCCCATCTCTTTAAAAAAAAAAAAAAAAAAAACAGGAAATAAATTATTTGCCAGGTCAACTAAAACTTCACTGAAGCTGAACATATACCATGTCAAATTGGCTGTAACAAGCCAAACAAGATGCCTGCTTCTCAGGGAGTTCAAGCATTTAAAAAAAGAGTGAGGAGCCAGGCGCGGTGGCTCACACCTATAATCCCAGCACTTCCGGAGGCTGAGGTGGGCAGGTCACCTGAGGTGAGGAGTTCGAGACCAGCCTGACCAACATGGAGAAACCCAATCTCTACTAAAAATACAAAATTATCAGGGCGTGGTGGCACATGTCTGTAATCCCAGCTACTTGGGAGGTTGAGGCAGGAGAATCACTTCAACCTGGGAGGCAGAGGTGTGGTGAGCTGAGATCGCACCACTGCACTCCAGCAGCCTGGGCAACAAGAGAGAAACTCCGTCTAAAAAAAAAAAAAAAAAAAAATTGAGGGAACAAGAGAAAAAGGAGAAAAAAAGAAAAGACAACTTCAGCTGCCTACAAACTAAAAAGCTTAGAGCAACAGGACTATTGTCTAGTATTCTGCTTCCGCTAGATTCCTACTTTCTAGGGCCTGCGTTTATAAAGCACCACACTAAAACAGGGACCATTTCCTTCAGGGACAGGAGTGAAAGCAAAGGGTAACCAGACCTAACTAAATGGACTTTTCCCCAGTGGCTCAGCCTATCACCCACGACAAACGGGGCATTGAAATAGTCAAGGACTGCCTTCCAAATGGCAACAGAAATACCCGGATTCCAATAACCATGCTGTTATACTAGGAAACCGCACAGCTTTCCAGGGAGATGGACCTGCAACCCCATCTATTATTTCCCCTGCTGAGGTAATCCCGATCCGGATGCAGATCCAGATGGAAAACCACTAGAAATTCAAGGAAGCTTCTCCATCGGGGTGGAGGTGCTAGGGGAGGGCAGGGAATTAAGAGGGAAAAAAATCCTTAAACATCCACGTATACAATGCAAAAAAAATTTTTTTAACTTGATACAGAATGAATATGAGACATTTTTATATTTCCCAGCAACAAAATATGACGCTTTTGGTGTCCCCAGCCCTTAGCCAAAAAAATAAGGAGCTGGAGAAAAGGAACGATTGGTGGTTATGAAACATGAAAGTTAACTGGGCGCTCTGCCTCGCCAGGAGGAGAGATTTCAGATGGGGATGAGGACAGATCCTGGACATTCTGGCGCATTCAGCCAGCCCGCAAGGGCTGGGGGCGGCTATCGGGTCAAACTGAGAAGGAGAGGGAGAATCCATGCAGTCGCCTAAGCGTCGGAAAGCAGGGAAGACGAGGAAAAGCTACCGCTCATGCAACTACAACAGCGATTCCAAGAGGAAGCCGGGACATCTTGCCAAAAAATAGGCGGAAAAGAAAAATCCCACTGACCCCACCCCCGCGCCCCTCGGAAAGAGCGCTCTGCGATTGGGTCGCGCGAGTGTCACTCAAGGGCGCAGAGTCTAGAAAAGGCGCACCGCAGAGGACCAGACCTCCCACACGCTGCAGGGTTTCGTCGTCTACCCACACCCCAGCCCATCACCACACTCGGGACCGCTAAGACGGTGTCTCTTAAGTGTCGTACCCTGTCCCCCGCGGCCTACAGCTCCCTGCAGGCCGGCGGCCTCTTACCTGGCAGCCGCTTCCGCTGCAAATGTCAGAGTCAGGCCAGCGGCCTCTCGCGACCGTTAAACTCGAAGGAACGTGCGCGCGTCCGGCGTCTCCCCAGTGATTGGCTGCCCGGAAGTTGGGGAGACGGCAGAGCTTGGCGCGCGCGTCCACCTCGCCCTTCCTTCTCGCGCAGCTCCAGCCAAAGAGGGATGTCCAACCCCAGGGGAGTGACGAGGGGGTGGGATTGCTGTTAAGGTCTCGTCTCTGATTGGCTCTCTGAGAGTTTGCCGCGACCACGCGGGAAAGAAGCTTTAGTGTCTCGCATGCGCAGTTAGTAAACTTGAGCCTCTGGCAGATGAGGGAAACCGCCACCCGAGTACAGCGCGTGCGCAGCTCCGGGAACGCGATTGACAGTCCTCTGCTTCGGGGATTCGGGTTCCCCTAACACGTTGAGGGAAGGAGTCCGGTCCTGAGACCAGGTAAGCTTCCGCGAAGAAGCCAGGTAACCCTACGGCTGCCCACGACTGTCAAGGGCTCCGGAGAGAGGACTGGGAGCCGGGACGCTCGGTTTTTCCCGGCTTGCGACCCCGAGTGGCGCAGCCGGTTTACTTGAGGCCCCTCTGACTGTGGGGTGGGGCCGGCCCTGAACCCCGAGCTAAGTTCTCTCGGGACCTGGTTAACGCTAGGTGCTGGGGGTCGGCTCTGGGGCTGTTCAAGCACTCAGGGCAGAGGAGAGGAGAGACTACCGTCTTGGAGAAAACGGTTCCACGGAGGCCCAAGGCGAAACGGAAAGATCTTCCCGTACTTAATTGAGCGGAATGGAGCTGTGAGCACGCATCAGGTGCCGTTTCAGGTCTGGCTGGCACGTAGTAGGGGTCAGCACTGCCCTTGCTGGGCTTTTGTGGAGATTTTTTTTTTTTTTTAAAGAGATGGGTGGCGGCGTCCTCACTATGTTGCCCAGACTGGTCTCGTACTCCTGACCTCAGGCGATCCTCCTTCCTCAGCCTCCCGAAGCTCTGGTGGGATCTCAGGCGTGAGCCACCGCGTCCTACTTCTAAAGGACTGCAAGGAACCCGCTCTCCTTCCCGTGGGTTCCCAGCTCATTTCATGCACACTGTGCAGGCCACGTTCTTCATCCTAGTTAACTTTAAGGTCCTTCCAGCTCCTAGATTTCCCTCCAGGAGTCCTGGCTCACAGTAAAGGGACTTCCCTGGGACTATCACTTAGGCCTCCACGACACAGAAAATGGATTTGCCCTTGGAGTAAGGGATCTGCCAGGAGGCGTTCCATCTCCGGAGCTTCCTAGGTATACGTACCAGTTATTTTTATTTTATTTTATTTTATTTTATTTATTTATTTTGAGACAGTCTTGCTCTGTCGCCAGGCTGGAGTGCAATGGCACAATCTCGGCTCACTGCAACTTCCACCTCCCGAATTCAAGCGATTCTCCTGCCTCAGTCTCCCAAGTATCCGGGACTACAGTCGCATGCCACGACGCCCAACTAATTTTTGTGTTTTAGTAGAGACGACGTTTCACCGTGTTGGCCAGGATGGTCTCGATGTCTTGACCTTGTGATCCGCCGGCCTCGTCCTCCTCAAAATGCTGAGATTACAGGCATGAGTCACCTTGCCCAGCCCTATTTTTAATTTTTTACTTTTTTTGTGTGGTGTTGGGGGGACAGAGTCTCCCTCTGTCACCCAGGCTGGACTGCAATGGTGCGATCTCAACTCACTTTAACCTCTGCTTCCTGGGTTTAAACAATTCTGCTGCCTCAGCCTCCCGAGTAGCTGGGACTACAGGTGCCTGCCACCACACTCGCCTAATTTTTTTGTATTTTTAGTAAAGATGGGGTTTTGCCATATTGCACAGTCTGGTCTCGAACTCCTGACCTCAAGTCAGCATCCTGCCTCAGCCTCCCAAAGTGCTGGGATTACAGGCATGAGCCACTGCACCTGGCAATTTTTAAACTGCAAATTTGGTATTTCCTGTCTTTTTATTTTTTTTTAAATTATATTACATAATTCCAGAAGATATTTGTTTAAACTAGGACTTGCTTCATTGAAGATGGTTTTATCTTTCAGCATGAGCCTCCTGGGAAGTCAGGCTTTTTTTTTTTTTTTTTTTTTTTTTTTTTTGGCATCACAATGATCTCCTTGGTACTTGATATCACAGACCAGAATTATGACCCCACCAAATAGCATGTTTTCAGTAATGCCATGGTTTTCAAGTACTTCTTACTGTACCAAGTAAAATAATTGGCAAGCCACTGTTCTAGATGCCTTTTCACCCTAAGCTCTAAAACAAAGGCCCATGAAATAAACAGTTCCCAGATTGGGTTTGTGTCGTAAGACCACAGCATATGTGGTGTGTCATTCCAAAGTTCCTCAGCCTTGTAGTTGAGAGATCTGACATTCTCCCATTTAGTGAGCACTAAGTGCTTTACATTTGTGGCAACATACATGATTTTGTTCTCACTCTAGGTAGTAGTGTCTCCATTTTACAGATGAGGAAATAGGGCCAAAGGTGCCCACTGAATGCAGATCTGTTGGCCACAGAGCTCACACCCCTCAGCAGTAGGGCCTTTCTGGGACAAAAGAAGAAATGAGAGAAGTCATCAAATAGAGAAAGTCAGGCTGGTCCAAAGTAGGGAGTTATCTTTTTTTTTGTTTTTGTTTTTTTAAGTAGTAAGTTATCTTAATTGATTGTTTATAGTCACAGATCAAACTCCTTGTTCTACTCTTTCCCTCTTCTCTACTGTACCTGACTAGTCTTTTTAAAAAGAGAGAGTTGGCCCGGTGTGGTAGCTCATTCCTGTACTCCCAGCACTTCGGGAGGCTGAGGAGCTGGACCACTTCAGGTCAGGAGTTCAGGACTAGCCTGGTCAACATGGTGAAACCCCGTCTCTACTAAGAATACAAAAATTAGCTGGGCATGATGGCTAGCGCCTATAATCCCAACTACTCCAGAGGCTGAGGCAGGAGAATTGCTTGAACCCAGGAGGTCTAGGTTGTGGTAAACCAAGATCATGGCACTGCACTCCAGCCTGGGCAACAGAGTGAGACTCTGTCTCAAAAAACTAAATAAATAAAATTTTAAAAAATAAAAAGGAAAAGGAGCTAACATTGCCTAAGGAATTGGAAAAGGATCTGGAGATATTATGAAAGGTAATGAAACTAACTATAGAAAGGATAATTTAATTTCAAAAATTGAAAACCTAATCATCTTCCAAGATAGATCTTCCTGAGATAATCAGGAAGTGTGCCTCTCTTATTTTCTTTATTTGTATTAAATACAATAACGTATTTGAAAGTCCTTTGCAGCTGGATGTGGTGGCTCACATCTCTACTCCCATCACTTTGGGAGAGTGAGGCAGGAGGATTGCTTGAGCTCAGGATTTCTAAACCTGCCTGGGCAACAAGGCAAGACCCTGTCTCTACAAAACATTTGAAATTGGCCAGGTGTGGTGGCACACACCAGTGGTCCCAGCTACTGGGGAGGCTGAGGCAAAGAGGCTTGCTTGAGCCCAGGAGATCAAGGCTGCACTGAGCCATTTTTATGCCACTGCACTCCACCTGGGCGACAGAGGGGAACCCTGTCTCAAAAAAGAAAAAAAAGAAAGTGCTTTGATTTGGGTATGTTTAAGTCCTAAACAAATACAAGGCATCATTAATAGTAATATAGGCTTTGAGACTTTTAGAAGAAAATATACTGTGTTGTTATTGCTGCTTTTCTAATATGTTTCTGTTTTAGTAGTGTAGTTGATAAATTATTAAGATCCTGTTAGATGTTATAAATTGAAGAAATATGGGGCTGGGCATGGTGGCTCATGTCTCCCAGCACTTTGGGACACTAAGGCAGGGAGATTGTCTAAGCTCAGGAGTTTGACACCAACCTGGGCAACACGGTGAAACCCTGTCTTTACTAAAAATACAAAAAATAAGCCAGGCATGGCAGCGTGCGCCTATAGTCCCAGCCACTCAGGAGGCTGAGGCAGGAGAATCGCTTGAACCTGGGAAGTGGAGGTTGCAGTGAGCCTAGATTGAGCCACTGCACTCCAGCCTGGGTGACACAGCGAGACTCTGGCTAAAAAAAAAAAAAAAGAAGAAGAAGAAGAAGAAATATGATACACACGAATAGGACAGGTGTAATTCTGCAAATTCAAAGTTTTCTGCTTAAATAAAATAAATGGGGTGGGGCACAGTGGCTCACGCCTGTAATCCCAGCACTATGGGAGGCTGAAGTGGGCACATCACCTGAGGTCAGGAGTTCGAGACCAGCCTAGCCAACATGTTGAAACCCTGTTTCTACTAAAAATACAAAATTAGCTGGGCATGATGGCGGGTGCCTGTAGTCCCAGCTACTTGAGAAGCTGAGACAGGAGAATCGCTTGAACCCAGGAGGCAGAGGTTTCAGTAAACCGAGATCATGCCATTGCACTCCAGCCTGGGTGACAAGAACGCAACTCCGGCTCAAAAATAAAATTAAAATGAACGAGATGTTGGGATTGTGTGAAGTGAATGTTTTCCTCTTTACTTCATTAGCTGTCTCTTGAATTCTGCAGCGTTAAGCTTTCAAGCATTAAGCCTGTTAAATTTAGACCAGACCTAGAGTAGTCATTTTTCCTCCAGTCCCCCAAAATCAAAGACAACAGCTCTGCATTTCCTTTGTTTTCTCTTCTGGGTTTGTTTTTTTTTTTTTTTTTTTTTTGAGATAGAGTTTCACTCTTGTTGCCCAGGCTGGAGTGCTGTGGCGCAAGCTTAGCTCGCTACAACCCCCACCTCCCGGGTTCAAGCAATTTTTCTGCTTCAGCCTCCCAAGTAGATGAGATTACAGGTGCCTGCCCCCACACCCAGCTAATTTTTGTATTTTTAGTGGAGACAGGGTTTCCCCGTGTTGGCCAGGCTGGTCTCGAACTCCTGACCTCAGGTCATCCACCCGCCTCAGCCTCCCAAAGTTCTGGGATTACAGGTATGAGCCACAATGCCCAGCTAATAACAGCTCTGTATTTTCCTGCTCAATCTATTTTGCCTTCCTTGTTTGAGAAATAACTATCTGCAAACACTGTGAGTGAAGCGTGCTTTATCTTCATTGTAAAACCTCAAGTCTAGGAAATGGCATGATCTGTTTCAAGCCTGACCACTGATACTCATTGGTTCCATTGGAGAGGTTTCAGTCCTTAAGGATTTCAGGCACCTACAGCAGGAGGATGAGCTAACAGGAAGACGTGAAAGACAGAGAAACGCTACTTTCTTAACTCCCATTTTACAGAGAGCAGCAAAACACTTTTTTTTTTTTTTTTTTTTTTTTTTTTTGAGATGGAACCTCACTCTGTCACCCAGGCTGGAGTGCAGTGGCACAACCTCAGTTCACTGCAACCTCCGCCTCCCGGGTTCAAACGATTCTCCTGCCTCAGCCTCCCAAATAGCTGGGACTAAAGGCGCACACCACCCCTGGCTAATTTTTTGTACTTTAGTAGAG